TTCATATATAAATTATAAATTAATAACTATAACAAATCAAAGTCACTATCCGCGCGTGGCGCGGATAAATGATCTAGTCTTATTAATAGTTAACGAAACCTTTAAAATCACATGCCAATGAGATGATAGATTCCACAAAGAAAATATTCTTTTCTAAAAAGAATATTCAGATCCATATATAAACAATGTATAGCATTCAACACTAAAAATACCTTGTATAAGCAGGTTCTTAGTACAACTATAAAGTTTCGAACAACATATTTTGGGTATTATACAAGTTAACTAAATTAGATCTACATGACGAGTCATCTACCATTCAAAGACGAGACCACTAGACCATAAATCGTATGCATAGTTCCCGTGTTCGACCATTCCCTTTCATTCCACCCAAACTTGTAAAATGAGTTTTGATCGTTCACATTTGTTGAGACACGTGTATACACATGTGCATGAACAAAATGTAGCATCTGAGAAGACTTCATCAACTAATGTGCAGTGAAATATTGGTATCCACTCCCAAGTCTTTTGAAAATTATATATAGTAGTAAATGCTTCCAAATTATTAAAAAAATATTAAAGTTTTTGATAAATGTTTATGGTTCTCAAATTCCAGATCCGATTTTGCCTGATTGACTTAGAAACTATTGATGTATATGAACAAGTTTTTGTTCATTTCAAAATTTTAGATTCGAATAGTGTATCTTGGACATTAATTTTATATAGGACATAACCCTTGTAAGTTATTCTACTATAACCTAAAGTAATCTGTATTACTCAATATATATTAATTTACTTATTTACCCTTAATGAAATAAAAAGAAAAACAAAATTAGAAAAAACTTTGGCGTGATTCTTCTTCTCCGACATCTTGACCAGATGGTGATGATGATAGCAACGACAACAGTAACGATAAGCTTCAGTCGTAAGTCCATGCTTCACTCTCAGCTGGTGTTGTGCTCTACAACCCTAGGTGAGCTTCTTCTCCGTTGCAATCGACGTGAAATCCCAATCCATGGTGGTCGTCAAGTTGGCAATTCACAACACACTGCTGCCAATTCTACTATTCAAGTCGTATATGTCGTCGTCGTGACCTCAAACCCTTGCCACCGATTCCGCTAATCTTCGATTTCAATCCTTCGTTCGATCCTGTGTCGAGAGCAATCGGTTTACTTGTGACCAACTCTTCATTATTTATGTCTTTGGTCCTTAGTTTTCTCGGTTCTCCTCATTTTGACCCAAACTTTTTAATTAACATATTTTCTTGAGATTTCTCCCCACACTTTTTAATTTTGAAGTATAGACCTTATTAAATATAAATCGAGATATAATTAAGTTTAATATGATGTTATTATAAGCTAAATCAAGAAACTGGTGTAGGTGTGGATTATAGAAGATTATACAATTAGTACATCCTTACTTATTTCAATATTAGAGTTAAAGTACAACTATATGTAATCTCATACAACTTGTAACTAAGCATATACACAACTAGTATTACTAGTATATCTTTGTTATGTACCAAACATGTAATACTGGAACAACTTGTATTTTATACCAGATACGTAATATTGGTCCAACTAGTTCAACTTCTTCATTATAAAAAAATTATAAATTTTATTTGGTTTTCCATTAGAAAAATTAATCAACTGGCCAAATGGCTATGGGTTTATAATGTTTTCTCTAACTATTTTAATTTTTAAATAGTCATTTTGGTAATTACTACATTATCACATAAGTTCCTATGTTCCACCTTATACTTTAAAGGTTTGTTTACTTGTTTTTTTCATTATATTTTTGAAAATCATACACCTAATACATTTTAAAAAATTTAATGATTCTATAATATCTGATACCAAGTAGGTAAACATATGGAGGTGATACAACTAAGTTCAATTTATTTCTTATATGGTACAACTAAAGTTTTCAATTTTCTTGTCAAAATACAACTATGTACAAACCTGTACAACTCAAATTCCGGTACAACTATGTACACAAGTGTATTACTCAAAAACTAGTACAATTATGTATTATTAATGTCCAATACTGGAACAACTTGTATTTTATACCAGATACGTAATATTGGTACAACTAGTTCGACTTCTTCATTATAAAAAAAAAAATTATTTGGTTTTTCCATATGAAAAACCAATCAACTGACCAAATGGCTATGGGCTTATAATGATTTCTCTAAACTATTTTAATTTTAAATAGTCGTTTTGATAATTACTACATTATCACATATGTTCCTATGTTCCACCTTATACTTTAAAGGTTTGTTTACTTGTTTTTTTCATTATATTTTTGAAAATCATTCACCTAATACATTTTAACAAATTTAATGATTATATAATATCTGATACCAAGTAGGTAAAGTTATGGAGGTGATACAACTAAGTTCAATTTATTTCTTATATGGTACAACTAAAATTTTCAATTTTCTTGTCAAAATACAACTATGTACAAGCTTGTACAACTCAAATTCCGGTACAACTATGTACACAAGTGTATTACTCAAAAACTAGTACAAATATGTATTATTACATTTAAATTGTGTATCACATTTTAAACATGATAGTTGTATCATTCATTCAGCTACTTGTAAACGTGGTATAACTTTCTATTATGTACCATACTTGTATTAGTAGTACAACTGAGATAACTTAGTTATTTTTAAAATTGACAAAAATCAAATGGATATTACATATAAAATAATAATCAAAATTTTGGAATCTTAAGAATTGAAACTGAACCTGACATAAACCAAAATATTTTGGATATCCCAAATGTATTTGAAATAGATTTATATAATATATTAATTATTTTTAGATTTAATATCCCATGTACAAACTTGTACAGCTCAAAACTCGGTACAACTATGTATATGATTGTACAAAACTAAAATACTGGTACAACTTCTTATTTCATACCGTACATGTAATAGTGGTACAACTGATTCAACTTCTTTATTATAGAAATTTATAAATTCTATTTAGTTTTCCATACGAAGAAAACAATCAACTGACTAAATTAGTGTGTGTTTATAGTGGTATCTCCTAACCATTTTAAATTTTAAACATTTTTTAACAATTTTTACACTATCACATAAGTTTTCATGATACACCTTATATTTTAAAGGTTTGTTTACTTGTTTACTTGTTTACTTGTTTATCCACTATATTTTCTTGTATATGTGTTATTGATCTATATTTTATCATATTTTCATGTCTATATAAGAAAATGAACATAGAGGCGAGAAGATTACTACATATCAAATGTTAAAACAACACAGCTCAAATGATGACAAAATTAAACTAGTACTACGACTACCGTACCTAAACCAATTGTACAACTTGGATTATTTTCGTAGTCCAAACATGAATGCATATGCATAATTTTCCGAACTCATAATGATTCTTACATCAATTTTTTTTTGGAAATAGTACAACTAGTATAAATAGTACAATTTGTAAGCAAATCGTTATCAAAATCAAATATTATTGAAAATAAATTATTCATGTACTTTGACACATGCAAGCACAGAAGGTTAGATCAACATTTCTCATTGGTTTTATACCATGCAATTTTCTAGCATCATTCATATGCTGAAATAAAAACCAAATATCACCATATTAATTATAAAGTTGTACAAGCTATATGCATGCTAGTTGTACTAGTTATACGCGTTATACTCAATGTATTTGTACTAGTTATGTTTGTTTTAGTTGAATTAGTCATACTAGATCGGGTTGTACTAGTTATACTAGTTCGGGTTATACTAGTTGTACTAGTTTGAATCGTACTAGTTGGTACTAGTCTGAGTCATCCTAGTTGTACTAGTTTGAGTTATTCTAGTTGTATCAGTAATACTCTGCGTTTTTCTTTGTTATGAATCTCGTACGAAAATGATGAAATTTGACTTTAAACAAGATATAATTGATTAAATATGATTATGGGTTGATCAATTTGGGATAAGAAAAAGAAAATTAGTGAACATGTGAAGTAAATTTTGGATTTTGTTTTAAGGTGAATCCATGGATAAGAAAAAAGGAAGAAGGAGAAGAAAAAAATTTAGGTTAACAGCTGGGTCTGGGTCGGATCATGGGTCGAATCTAGATATTTGTGGCATGAATCTGTAAATATGTTGAAGTCTTTAGGTTTTTTAGTTATTTTATCTACTTTTTGAATTAAATTTAAATGTAAAATGAATACAAATTAAAAGGGGGTCATTTTAGAATATATGATATCCATGTGTGTCATGACAGACTTTGATCCGTGTATCTTGGCTCGAAGGCTTCTTGTCTACTTTGGTCAGGTTTGCATAATTTCTGTTTATTTACTAAGCTCATTTGGTACTAGAAACTCCTCACATGCATCACTTTAATCCACCACAGAACTATGGACACATTGTTCTCATGCTTGGGCCACATATATACAGTATACCAAGTCCATAATTGTATACTTTCATCTACAATTTAAAGTGAGAATAATTTTGCAAGAAATAAATAACCGGGGGGTAGCAGGTCTATGGTTAAACCCTACCAAACTATAACTTTCTTTACTTTTGGAGAAAATGGAAGACCGACCAAAAAGGCGAATTCTGAAAGAAAAAAAAGCAAGTTCAAGAAAAAGACATGCAAAATAAGAACATAGAAATATACTGCTCAGAAAAGCTTTTCTTTTTATTTTACTGTAATTTTAGTTCCACTGACAAAAATTAACTAAATAAAAGATAAACTTTCTGGTTATTATATTATTATATTTAATATATTTATTTATCTATAATGTTTCACTCCGAGTTTGCTTTTTCCCGGGAAAGGGTTAACGTCCATAATACTAATCCAAACGTCGCTATAAATAGAGATCCATCTTCCCCCACACCGGTCTAACCCCATCTGCTTCTTCTTCCTCTCCATATTCACCTCAACGCCCCCCCCCCCCCCCCAAAAAGAAAAAACTCTTCCTTGTTGAAACCTATTTAGATCGTGTGATTTTAGCAACGAGGATTGTTCTGATCGGTGAGAAAAATGGAGCAGAAGAGCGTACTGCTGTCTGCTTTAGGTGTTGGTGTTGGTTTAGGAATAGGATTGGCATCGGGTCAGGGTTTGGGTAGATGGGCAAACGGGTCGGGTTCTGCAGAGGACGGACTCACCGGAGAGCAGATGGAGCAAGAGTTGGTGAGACAGATTTTTGATGGGAGAGAGAGCACTGTCACCTTCGATGAGTTTCCGTATTTCTTAAGGTAACTTAAACCAAAGCTCACTTTTTCTTTTTGTTGTGTTCTTTGTGTGGTTTAGTATTGATTATTGTTTTTTTATTAAATATTGTCACTATGGTATGAAAGAATGAAAGAGCTAACCTTGAGCTCAATCAAAGATTCAATGCTTGTTTAGGATTTTCAGATCTGTCGATTTTTAGATAAGAGTGTGCTTGAAAGATGCCAACTTGGCAAGTAGTTATTTAACATGATTACCAAAACATATTTGGCAAGTAGTTTGTAGTTTACATCTTACAGCTGTCAAAAATATTAAATATTGGTTATACTAAAGAAAAATTACTATATCAATATTTTTCACTAGGAATTTTAGAATCTGTTTTTTTTTCACATGGATAATGGGGGCGATTGGTTGGACTGTAACTGTAGAATCCTATAGCAATATTTTTTTACTTTAGAAAATGAGATTCCTACAACCATTTTTTTAATTTTTTGACTTTAGCTTTCAAAATTACTTAAAGCATGATTAATGATTTATATGGTTGTAGATAGAAAATAAAGCTAAAGTTACTATTTAAAGCCCAACCAATCATCCCCAATGTTTTGAAGTTCGAACTATTTATGGGGTTTTAGGAATAAAATTTTGGAAATTCGTAGACGCATAATAAAAAATTTATTTGATTTAGTTAGGTTACTAATTTGTGGAGTTAAGATCCTTATTTGTGGAATTTTGGATAGATAATGTTTTGATTTAGTTAGGAGTCCCCTTTTCTAGTTTTGTAAGCTATTTCATTTTGATTTTTCTAATCTGGTTTAGCATCTCTTTACTGGTGGTGAAAGGATCTTAGAATCTCTGGGTATCTAGGTTCAAAGTATGATAGAGATGGGAAATTCTGTAAATTTTTGCTTTTTATTTTTTCCAAGAAAATATTTAGAAAAGGGAAAAGGAAAATGATGGAAAGTGGGGTAGGTTAGTTGCACAACAAGCATGTGGATGATTTGGCAAATGAAGACAGATAGAGACAGCCAGAGAAATAGAAAGGTTCTTACATGTGATTCTACTAATTTAGTTTAACTTAATAACTTATATTCTAACAATGTTTTTGGATTCACCGCTCCATACTATTGAGTCTTGTCTGTAATAATATAGCAAGTTCTTGCATAGTTTCTACAAATGTGATGAGTTGCAATACATTCTAAAAACTGTAAAATTGTATCTTCCATGTGAAAAAACATGAACTTAATTCTGAGTCATGCCTTTGGTAGACATGAATGTATATTTTCATGTTCTTGGTAATACCTAATAAGATTGACGGCAATATAACTAATAAAAGATTGTTTTATTGTGAAATGGTAGCCAGAGAACTCGAGAGTTATTGAAAAGTGCAGCATACATTCATCTAAAAGAGGTAGAAATCTCAAAGCACACTCGGAATCTTGCACCTGCAAGTAAAGCCATTCTACTTTCAGGTCCTGCGGAGTTCTATCAGCAAAGGCTTGCAAAAGCTTTATCTCATTACTTTGAATCAAAGCTATTGCTGTTAGATATTACTGATTTTTCTATTAAGGTAAATCAATCAATCAATACGTTTAGCTTTTTCAAGTATTTCCCATAGTCAAAACAAAACATCTCATACGCTTTCTCTATCGTATTATTTGGTTATAGATACAAAGTAAATACGGATGCACCAAGAGGGAACCTGTTGTAAGTCACTTCAAAGTCCTATCTATCTGTTGTTATGCTGATGATTTCAGAGTAATGACTCTGTTTTTCTCTGTTTTGGTTTATAGCTTCACAAGAGGTCTATTTCTGAGTTAACATTAGACAAGATGTCGAGCTTGATGGGTTCCTTCTCTAAGCTCTCTCAACGTGAAGTCGAACCAAGAGGTAAAAAAGAAACCAAAAAAAGAATAACTCACTACTTTTTATTGCATTACTGCAAACATGAGCTAAAGAGATGAGAGTTCTTGTAAAATATTAGGGGCACTGCGTCGACACACCAGTGGAAATGATCTTAAATCAAGGAGTTCCGATAGCTCAAATCTTCCTCTGAGACACAAGACAATTGCTTCTGCTACTTCGAGTTCTGTTACAGGTCTAGAAATATAACTTTATCATATATTCTTAATACATTTTATTCAACTCCACCTTCTTATGGCTCTTTGCATCATATTTTTCTTTTTTTTTAATGGCTTCTAGCTTCCAGCAAACGCAGCACAAATCTTTGCTTTGACGAGAAACTTTTCCTGCAATCACTTTACAAGGTAAAAAACAAACCGTTACACAAGTAGTCTAAGTAGTTTCTACGGATCTTCCACAACTGTTGTCTTTCTCTGCAGGTTATGGTCTCTGTATCCGAGAAAAATCCACTAATAGTATACCTTAGGGACGTTGAGAAGCTTCTTGAGTCAGAAAGATTCTACAAGTTGTTCCAGATTCTCTTGAACAAGCTGCCTGGTCCTGTCTTGATTATTGGCTCAAGGGTATTAGAACCCGAAGATGATTTCCAAGAAGTAGGTGAAGGGGTCTCCGCTTTGTTTCCTTACAACATCGAAATCACACCACCAGAGGAAGAATCTCAGCTCTTGAGCTGGAAGAAACGTTTAGAAGATGACATGAAGATGATTCAGTTTCGAGACAACAAGAACCACATCGCAGAAGTTCTTGCTGCTAATGATATCCAATGCGACGACTTAGATTCCATATGCTACGGTGGTGATACAATGTGTTTGAGCAACCACATTGAGGAGATTGTGGTTTCTGCAATCTCTTATCATTTGATACACACCAAAGAACATGAATACAGAAATGGAAAGCTTGTTATATCTTCCAAAAGGTAAATTAATTTTTTTTTTTTAATGTTGGTTAGTTATGCTATTATAAACTATAAGAAATAAAAATAGGTTTATTTAATCATAGCTAGTAACAGATCTTCGAGCTGATTAATTGGTTCTTGATCTTCCAAACAGCTTGTCTCATGGACTGAGTATATTCCAAGAAGGTGGGAGCAGATCATTTGAAGACTCCTTGAAGCTAGACACAAACACTGACTCTAAGCGAAAAGGAGGAGAAGTATATTCAAAGAGTGAGTCAAAGCCTGATTCATCTTCTCCTGAAAACAAGAACGAGTTGGAAAAATCTCTTCCTTCAAACAAGAATGACAATCTATTTCCTCCAAAAGCACCTGAGGTTGCTCCAGATAATGAGTTTGAGAAGCGTATAAGACCAGAGGTTATGCCAGCAAATGAGATTGGTGTGAAGTTTGCAGACATTGGTTCTTTAGATGAAATAAAAGATTCACTTCAAGAGCTTGTAATGCTTCCACTTAGAAGACCTGATCTCTTCAAAGGAGGTCTTCTCAAGCCATGTAGAGGGATCCTTCTGTTTGGACCACCTGGTACTGGCAAAACAATGCTAGCAAAGGCCATTGCAAATGAAGCTGGAGCTAGTTTCATCAATGTCTCCATGTCTACAATCACTTCTAAATGGTTTGGAGAAGACGAGAAGAACGTGAGAGCTTTGTTTACTTTAGCAGCCAAAGTGTCTCCAACGATTATATTTGTGGATGAAGTGGATAGTATGTTGGGGCAAAGAACAAGAGTAGGAGAGCATGAAGCAATGAGGAAGATCAAAAATGAGTTTATGTCGCATTGGGATGGGCTTATGACCAAACCTGGTGAAAGGATTCTGGTTCTTGCAGCGACAAACAGACCCTTTGATCTTGATGAAGCTATCATTAGGAGGTTTGAGCGAAGGTACTATAGCAACTTTGGTAAAATTCAAAAGTTCTTCTTAATGACTATATAGTTGTGACTAATGTTTGTTTGTGTTGGAAAATAACAGAATAATGGTGCGACTTCCTTCTGTTGAGAGCAGAGAAAAGATATTGGGATAATTACTAGATTTCCTATATGCAATTGTTTTAGATAAACCATTAGGTTTTCCTTATTCCTTTTAGCTTTATGTTTTACTACTTTATGAGTATATATACTCATCGTTGGTCATTAATAAAACTCAACTTGAAATCCCAAACTATAATTTGTCATGGTATCAGAGCTAAGACAAAACTAAACACATCAAAAACCAATTCATTCTTTTAAACCCTCTGTTTTTCTTCAAACCAAAACAGAGACTATTCCTAAAAACATCAAAACCGATCCATTCTTTCCAATCCTCTGTTTATCCTTCAACAGCAGAGACTATTCCTAAAAATCTTCATCAAACACGATGTCGATTACTTCAACCAGTGATCGGAAATATAAAACTATTTCACCCTATGATTTATCATCCAACGACAATCCAGGAGCTGTAATCTCACAGCCTCTTCTTAATGGATTGAATTATGATGAATGGGCTATTAATTTTCGTATGGCTATAAGCTCTCGAAAGAAGTTCGGCTTTCTCGACGGCAGTCTACCTAAACCAGCAGCAGATTCACCATTCTTAGAAGATTGGACAGCAAATAACCATCTTCTTGTAGGATGGATAAAACTAACGATTGAACCAAAGCTTCGATCATCCATATCAACTCGTGAAATTGCAAAGGACCTCTGGGATATAATTCGGAAACGATTTTCTATCAAGAGCGGTGCACGCTTGCAACAACTACGCAACTCCCTTGCCAACTGTAGACAGAACGGTTCCAACGTCGATGAATATTTTGGTCGTCTAACCAAGATATGGGATGGGATCGCTGAATGCATGAATTCAAAACAATGTAGTTGTGGCAAGTGTGAATGCGATCTAAACTCGGCAAGAGAAAAAGAAACAGAAACATTGAAGGTTCATGATTTTTTGGCTGGGTTGGATGATACAACACACGGTGTCATACGATCTCAAATTTGCGCGATCTCACCACTTCCGGATCTCGATAGTGTCTACCAAACAATTTCACAGAATGAAATTCTTCAATCAACTTCAACACCAGAGACATCTGTTATGAGCTTTGCATCACAAGCTCGTCCTTCGAATTCATCAAGACCTAACACAACATTCACAAGAGATATCTCTAGACCTGGTAACAAAGATCCAACTAGACAATGTACGGTATGTGGCCGTACGGGTCATGAGGCTTCGGGTTGTTTCACGGTCATTGGATATCCCGATTGGTGGGAGGATGCTAAGAAAAATAAAAATCCAAATCGCAACACATCTACAAAACCAAACACTTCAAGTACTCCGGCTCGCAACAACCTACCAAAAGCTAATACAGCCACGGTAGTCAACACAAACCCAACACTTCGAGCTAACGTAACCATTACAGATGCTGATCGACAAGGATTGAGTGGCATCACAGACGATCAATGGAAGATCGTACAAAAATTAATCAACAAAGGCAACACCAATGATCATCTAACGGGTAAGAGTAGTGAAAGTATCTGGATTTTGGACACAGGCGCAACACACCATATGACAGGCCAGTTACACTTATTGGAGGATACACGAGATATTCCACATATACCTGTTCTATTACCACTTGGTTCAGAAGCAAAGGCGTCCAAACAGGGCAACGTCAAACTAACTCCGACATTACACATTCTAAATGTGTATTATGTGGCTGGCTTCCATACAAACTTAATATCTTTTGGGCAACTTGTTACTGACAACTTCTTAGTTGGACAAGTCACTGACAAACTCATGATTTTACAGGAACGTACCTCGAGGATGCTGATTGGAGCGGGTGAAAGAGAGGGAGAGGGATTGTACCGGTTTCGTGGGATTGAGACATTGGCGTCAGTTCATACTACGGTTCTTGAAGAGTCACTACTATGGCATCGTCGCCTTGGACATCCATCCTCTCGTATTACCGGCATGATTCCAGATACTCATAGTTTATCTTCTACGGCTAATGAGCTTATTAAAAGTTGTGATATTTGTTTTCGCGCTAAGCAAACCCGTCTCAGTTTCTCAGACAGTTTTCATAATGCAAATGAGATTTTCGATTTAATTCACTGTGATCTCTGGGGTCCCTATAGACAAACAGCATTATGTGGTTCTCGGTATTTCCTTACAATCATCGATGATCATTCACGAGCAGTCTGGCTCTATCTCCTCCCTGATAAAACGATGGTTTCACAGCAGATTAAAGACTTCCTAGCATTGATCGAGAGACAATTTTCTAAGAAGATCAAGACTCTACGAAGTGACAACGGAACAGAGTTTATGTGCCTCAAACGATATTTTCAAGAAAACGGAATCATTCATGAAACCTCATGTGTACATACACCTCAACAAAACGGACGTGCTGAGCGAAAACATCGCCATATTCTTAACGTTGCTCGAGCATTACGGTTCCAAGCTGGCCTACCTATTGATTTTTGGGGGGAATGCGTTCTGACTGCAGGACATCTCATTAATCGTACCCCATCATCACTGCTTAAAAATAAAACGCCATATGAGAAGCTCCATGGTCAGCCTCCAGACATAACTCATCTTCGTATTCTTGGGTGTTTGGCATATGCCCACAATAAAAATACAAAAGGAGATAAGTTTGCTTCAAGAAGCAGGAGATGTATGTTTCTGGGTTATCCCTCAGGAACAAAGGGCTGGAAACTTTTCGATTTGGAAAGAAAAACAGTGTTTATATCACGTGACGTGGAATTCCAAGAGAACGTATTTCCGTTTTCTGATCAAGAAAAATCACCATTAGTGGCTGTGACACCTACACCAAACCTTGTTCTTCCCCACGATGATTCTGAAACAGAGTATATTCCTTCGTCAAATTCAGAAACCGAGCATCTTCCTCCCGAAACAGAGTCACCTAATCCCACAGATCAATCAGCTACAACCGTTATTGAGCAATCAGATCCACCTACTACTGAACCTGAACCTCTAGGACGTGGCCACCGAACTCGACAACCCTCTACTCGCCTCAAAGACTTCGTCATAAATACCGTTACTACAATCCCTGTCTTCACTCCCTCTCTTCCTTCATCTGCGCCACAGCCATCCTCAGGTACGAGCTATCCCCTGTCTGATTATTTAACATATGATCGCTTGTCTTCGGCACATCGCAGCTTCCTCATGGCTCTAACAATAAATATCGAGCCAAAGCACTTTAAACAGGCTATGGACAACGAAGTATGGAGACACTCTATGCAATCTGAGATGGATGCTCTTGAAAGAAACCACACATGGGATCTTCAAGAGTTACCTCCAGGGAAAAAGGCACTCGGTACGAAGTGGGTTTACACAATCAAATTACGAGCAGATGGATCCATAGAGAGACACAAATCTCGTTTGGTGGTGCTCGGAAACAATCAAAAAGAAGGTCTTGATTACACCGAGACATTTTCTCCGGTGGCAAAAATGACAACAGTTCGAGTCTTTCTTGATATTGCAGCCAAGAAAAATCATGACATCCATCAAATGGATGTTCATAACGCTTTTCTTCATGGAGATCTCCAAGAAGAAGTATATATCAAGATACCTCTTGGTTTTGCTCGACCAAACGATACTCGTGTGTGCCGTCTACGGAAATCACTTTATGGTCTCAAACAGGCTCCTCGTTGTTGGTTCGCTAAACTCGTGGATGCCCTTCTCAGCTATGGTTTCTCGCAGACACACTCAGACTACTCACTCTTCGTTTACTTCCACAACAAGGTCACACTTCGGATACTAGTGTACGTGGATGACTTGATCATCTCAGGAGATTCACCTACAGAAATCAACTCGTTCAAGACATACCTATCAACTTGCTTTCACATGAAGGATCTAGGACCTCTCAAGTATTTCCTCGGTTTGGAAGTAGCTAGAAGTCCCCAAGGTATCTATCTTTCTCAGCGAAAATATACACTTGACATCATAACAGAATGTGGGTTGCTTGGGTGCAAACCGGCTGGATCACCAATGGACCAAAATCATAAGCTTGGAAAAGCAGAAGGTTTGGTAATTGCCGATCCAGAACAGTTTCGTCGTCTCACAGGTCGCCTCATTTATCTTCTAGCTACTCGACCGGATCTTGCATATGCCGTGCATATCTTGTCACAATTCATGCATACACCGCAAGAGGAACATTGGCTTGCAGCCTTGAAAGTAGTGCGTTACTTAAAAGGAACAGTAGGTCAAGGTGTTCTCTTTCGGGCCAACACTACGCTTTCTTTGACCGGTTGGTGTGACGCGGATTGGGGAGCTTGTCCTACAACTAGACGATCACTTACCGGTTGGATTATACAGTTTGGGTCATCACCAGTTACCTGGAAAACAAAGAAACAAGATGGCGTGTCTCTTTCCTCCACTGAAGCAGAATTTCGAGCTATGACAGCCATTACAAAAGAGGTTATTTGGCTTAAAGAACTTCTTCATGAGTTAGGCATTGGTCACCCGGATCCTATCACGATATGCTGTGATAATAAGTCTGCCATACATCTCAGTGCTAATCCTGTTCTACATGAACAAACTAAACACATGGGGATCATTTGCCAATTCGTTCGTGACGAGATCATCAAAGGCGTTATCAAGGTGGTGTATGTACCAACTACTGAACAACTTGCTGACATTCTAACCAAAGCATTGGGACGCAAGGAGTTCGATGCATTTCTTCTCAAGTTAGGCATTAACAATATCCATGCTCCAACTTGAGGGGGGGTATTGGGATAATTACTAGATTTCCTATATGCAATTGTTTTAGATAAACCATTAGGTTTTCCTTATTCCTTTTAGCTTTATGTTTTACTACTTTATGAGTATATATACTCATCGTTGGTCATTAATAAAACTCAACTTGAAATCCCAAACTATAATTTGTCAAAAGATCTTGAGAACATTGTTGTCGAAAGAGAAGACAGATGATCTTGATTTTCATGAGCTTGGACAGATGACAGAAGGCTACAGTGGAAGTGATCTCAAGGTTTTTGTCATCTCTAACCAGAACTCAAAACTCTTGTGTAAAATCATTGAAACTGACTGTTTGTTAAACATTTTTTTTTTGCAATAGAACTTATGCATTACCGCTGCGTATAGACCGGTTAGAGAGCTAATTCAACAGGAAAGATTGAAAGATCAGGTACAAAGAGTAAAAAAAGACTCTCT